TAGACAGAGGAGAACCAGGAGAGAGCAGTGTCACAAAAATATAAAGAGGAGAAACTATGCAAGAGGAAGTGATCAATAGGGTCAGATGCTGCAGAAAGACCATTAGATTTGGCCATTGAGATCATTGCTAAGGGAGCATTGAATGAGGTCAGGAGCAAGATTGCAGATGGTTTAGAAAAGAGTGAGAGGAAAGGAAGAGGAAGCACAGTGTAGACTATGCTCTCAAGTAATTTAGCCAGCAAGGGAAGGAAAAGATACAGGATGATGGCTAGCCAGGTTGCTAGGATCAAGTGAGAGTATTTCAAAGGTCAGGGAGACCTACATGTGTTCATAGGAAGCAAAGAAGGAATCAATAGATAAGAAAGATTGAAGATATTAGAGGAAATGGGAATGATCCCAGGGGCAGTCTGCTGGCAAGATGAGAAAGGGTGAGATCAAGAATGCATGTAGATCGGTTGGCCTTTGGCAAAGAGAAGGGCTGCCTTAAAAGAACCTAAAAATTGTCTCATCCAGAAAATGCTTGAATTCCTTGCCAGTTGGAGAGGGATGGCAGCCAAAGGCAGCACCAGTTTAGAATATAAACTTGTTTGTGAAATCATACAGAGAAAAACAGGAGATTATGAGGAATATCCTTTCACAAAACAGCAAGTATGGAAGGAAATAAAAGGAAAGGAAATAAAAGAAAAACAATTTTTTTTCTTTTTACCAAACTCATTTTTTATTTGTATTTGGCATTCCTTTTTTTTTTAAAAAAAAAGAGTTCCAAATTCTCTTCTTCCTTCCAGCTTCTCCCCTACCATTGACAAGGCAAAAAATATGATATCAAATATACCTATAAATCTTGTAAAACATTTCTATGTTATCCTTGTTGCAAAACAAATATACAAACAATAAGCAAGAAGTTATACTTAATCTGCACTCAGAGTTCTTTAGTTCTCTCTCTAGAGGCGGATAGCATTTTCTCATCGTTAGTCCTTTGGAATTGTCTTGGGTCATTGTGTTGATCAGAGTAGCTAAGTTTTTCACAGTTGATCGTCCTTACAGTGTTACTGTTACTGTGTACGATGTTCTGCTGGTTCTGCTCACTTCACTTTGCACTGGTTCATATGAGTCATCTTCCCAGGTTTTTCTGAAATCATCCCCTTCATCATTTGTTGTAGCCCAGTAGTATTCCATGACAATTATACCCCACAGCTGCCGTTCCTCAATTGACGGGCATCTTCCTGATTTCTGATTCTTTGTCACCACAAAAAGAGCTGTTATAAATATCTTTTGTACGTATAGGTCCTAGGAAGCTTGGCAGCAGACCCAAACTCTCTCCTCCTTTCCACTTGCACAACCGTCACCTGACATGGGCCTCACCATCTAGTCTAGACTGTTGCAATAGGCTCTTAATGAATGTCTCTGAATCTTGTCCCTAATCCATCCTCTTCACTGCTGCCAAATGGATATTCCTAATCTAATCTAATAATATCACTCTCTGATTGAGAAGCTTCATTTTTCCCAGTTCCCACTAGGTTAAAACACAAACTTATCTTTTTGGTCATTAAACACTTTACTAGTCTGGCTCTGGCCTGTATTTCAGGAGGGTGCATTACTCTCCTTCCACCCTCTCTATTCCAAACCAATTGGACTGACTTGCTGGTCCCTATAGGTGAGATTCCATCTCCTTCCTTTAGGACATTGCATCTGCTGCCTCTCATTCCAGGAGGGTACTGTCTCCTTATCTTGTCTATGCTTCTGCTTCTAGAAATTATTTTATATTGGGTAAGAGATAGCAGAATAAATGTATAGTGCCTACTCTGCACTAAGTACTTTACAAATACTATCTCATTTGATCCTCACAACAATCTTGCTGTTATTATCCCTGTTTTACAGTTGAGGAAACTGAGGCAAAAAGGTTAAGTAAAGTGCCCAAGTTTGCACAGCTGGAAAGAATTTGCAGTGAGATTTGAATTCAGGTCTTCTTGATTCCAGGCCCAGCTCTCCTGTGCCACCTAGCTACCTCTTTTTTACAGTCGCTAGACCCTAGTTAGCTAGGTGGCTCAGTGGATAGAGCGCTGGGCCTAGAGTCAGGAAGATCTGAGTTCAGATCTGGTCTTAAACACTATCTGTGAGATTCTGGACAAATCACTTAACTTATGCTTGCCTTAATCTACTAGAGAAGGAATGACAAATCACTGCTGTGCAAAGAAAACCCCATACAGTGTCATGAAGAGTCAGTTATGACTGAACAACAATAAAGCCTACTTAGTTAATTTTTTTCTTTTGTAAAGTTTATTTTATTTTTAATTTATAGAATAAAACAAGCATTTGCATAACATACTATAATAAAAAAGATGATTGTACTTGAAACTGCAGATCTGTTATGTACAACTTGCTATACCTTTTAAATATATAATAAAGTTATCATGTAAATTTTTTTCTTCCCCTTCCCCCACCCTAGAGATTGCTACCATTGACACAAACAGGTGTATATATGTAAAATTATTCTATACTTATATTTATCAGTTCTTTCTCTGGATTCAGATAGCACTTTTCTTCATGTGTCTTTTTATAAGTAGGCCAATACAATAAAAATTACAATTGAACCTAAATTATTTTATATATTCAGTGCCATCACAATTAAAGTACCTACTTAATTAACAGATTGGTTCTTGCAGAGATTAGTCCATGAAAGGGATAAAGTAAATACGTTCTTTTCTCCAATTCAGTTTACTTGCTTACTCGTTCATTTATTTATTTTAAGATGATCATCCTCTCTTGCTTAGCTTGGACATGCTATGACTTTACAATGACCTGATAAATCCGTTGATTGTCATGAGAAGTTGACCTGCTCCATATCTGACCTGGGCAAGTTCTCCCCTCCTTAGGAAACCTAGTGGCCCTCTACTCCCGAGGCTTGCCATGTTGATGCTGGACTTAGTGAGAACACTCTGTCATCTTATCCCATTGTAGCTCAGAACTCTTTTTTCTATTTTATTTATTTGTTTTTAGTTTTCAACATTCACTTCTATAAGATTTTGAGTTCTAAATTTTCTCCCCCTCCCTCCACTAGCCCCTCCCCAAGATGGCATGCAATCTGATATAGGCTATATATGTACAATCATGTTAAACATATTTCCACATTAGTCAAGTTGTAAAGAAGAATTAGAACCAAAGGGAAAACCACAAGAAAGAAGAAACAAAAAAGAGAGAGAGAGAGAGAGAGAGAGAGAGAGAGAGAGAGAGAGAGAGAGGAAATAGTATGCTTTGATCTGTATTCAGACTCCATAGTTCTTTCTCTGGATGTAGATGAGTCTTTTGGAATTGTCTTACATCCTTATATTGCTGAGAAGAGTTAAGTCTATCAAAAGTTGGTTATCACCCAATGTTGCTGTTACTATGTACGTTGCTCTCTTGGTTTACTTTGAAGTCCACCGGCTCATCATTTCTTATGGAACAATAGTATTCCACTATAGTCATATACCGCAAGTTGTTCAGCCATTCCCCAATTGATGGGGATCCCCTCGATTTCTAATTCTTGCCCACCACAAATGGAGCTGCTACAAATATTTTTGTTCATGTGGGTCCTTTTCCCATTTTTATGATCTCTTTGGGATACAGACCTAGAAGTGCTATTGCTGGGTATGCCCTGTTTTATAGCCCTTTGGGCATAGTTGCAAATGGCTCTCCAGAATGGTTAGACCAGTTCACAACTCCACCGACGAAGCATTAGTGTTCCAATTTTCCCACATCTTCTACAGTGTTTATCATTTTCCTATTTTGTCACATTAGCCAATCTGATAGGTGTGATGTGGCATGTTAGAGTTGTTTTAATTTGCATTTCTCTAATCAGTAGTGATTGAGAGCATTTTTTTCATATAACTAAGTAGCTCAGAACTCTTGAGCTCAAGATTCACCAGTCTCAGCCTCTCAGGTAGAAGAGATGACGGGCACCTATCGTGTTAAATATTTCAGTCCAATTCAATACATCTTAGTAGCACCTACTGTATGAAAACTACTGTGCTTGATTAACTATAGAAAGGCAACAACAGAAGGGTCCCTGACCTTTAGAATGGCTTCATTCTGCTGTGACATGGACGTTCTAACATGTACTCAAATGAATTACAAGGTAGCAAATAATATGAACAGAGAAACAGCACAAATAAAATTTTCTCAGAATATTCAAGGATTGAAAGAACACTGTCAACTAGAGGGATCCGAGAAGGCTACCTGGAGGAGGCAATGCCTGACCTAAACTTTGAAGGAAGATAAGGATTCTGAAAGCTGTACAGGAGGAGGAGGTGGTTCATTTAAGGCATGGAGCATGTCCTGCTAAAATGTAGTCTACGTTGGCTGGATGCAGGATGAATGAAACTGAGGAATTTGGTATAAAATGCTAGAAAGATAGATTTGAGCCAGATTGTAGAGTCCTTAAATGCCAGGGTGACAAGTTTGTATTTTATCCTATAGGCTGGGAGTTAGCTAAATCTAGCCCTCTACCTGTGTTTGGTTTTTACATTTTTAAATACAATGAAACTTTTTTTTTCAAAATGTAGAAACCATTCTTAGTTGTACCAAAGCTGTACCAAACAGACAGAGGTTGGATTTGGTCTTTTGGGCCAATAGAAGTGGTGAGCCACTGAAGCTTTTTGAGCAGAATGACTGTGGCCTTATCTGTGACTTGTGAAGAGTATTTGGGCAGCTTTATGAAGGATGAATTTATGTATTTCATTAATGCCTGTTATTCAGGTATGGTGTGTCCTCCAACTCTGTGCGTGCGGGGTCTTGTCTTTTAGACTGTATAACCCTTAAGGGCAGAAATCACACCAATCATTCTGTACTGTATATGGAAATCAGCCCTTAATAAGAGCTTTCTGATGGTGATACACATTTCATAGAAGATAAAAATCTCAGCTGTTGATGTCATTTGCCTATTCTAGTCTTTCCTATTTTCTTTACTCAGAGTTTATTTTTTAAAATATATATGCTTTTTTTTTTCTTTTTACTTTTCAAAGGAGAAAAAGATGAGAAAACTGCTGCAGGCCAGGCTGTTTGTCCCACTCCAGGTTGCCGAGGAGTAGGTCATATCAGAGGTCCAAGCTACATGGGACATCACAGGTACCTTTTAAAAATAATTTTGACTAAGTTCAGTTATGGGTTCAATCATCTGTACAGATTAACACCAACTCTTGGCTTAAGATAAATTTAGAAAGGTCTAAAGCCAGTCAGATATCAGGTATATTTTATCTCCCTGCTCTTCATCAAACTTTGTACTCCTATAGAAACCCTCCAGTTGCTTCTAGGAAACTTTGTGCTCCTCATACCACCTTACACAGATGGTCTACCTTCCATTTCTCTCTCCTTCCCATAATCTCCTAGAATTTTCTGCCCTTCCTCAGATTTTTTTTTTCCTCAGACCTTCTTTATCCTTTAGCTCTCTGCCCTTTCACTGCTTCCTGCAAGGCCTCATACTAACTGGACTGTGTTCGCAGCCCATTGCTCTGCCTTCAGATTCTCCTGCTTACATTGATACCACTCCGTCTCCTTCCAGGAGAATCCACAAAGCTTTATTGCCCTCTGCAACTCTTATTTCTGTTTCTTATTTCTGTCTCTCTCTTAGCTATATTTCTCTCTGTCTCTCAGGTATGTGGATGGTAGTAGGAGAATTGCTGGGAAAGAATCAATCATAAAAATATTTCCACTCTCAGTTTTCCAGAAGAATATGACACAAAAATGAATATGCAAATAAATGAACCAATTCCAATCCCCCTCTTTCTTCCTACTCCTGGGAATTCTATAAATTGGGAAAGGAAATGTCAGGTTATTCGCACAGGTGATTCAGACATACTATTTTAAATAAGCTCTGAGCTCATAGATAAGAAGTTGATTAACTTACATAGAAGTTGATACAAATGCCTAAAACAGGAGAAAGGCTGCTGAAATAAATCATCAGATCTTCATGCTATGGGAAATTATCATTGTGTAATTGGTTATGAATCTGGCCCACATTGTTTATGATGGAAAGCATATGACTTAAAGGGAAGATATCTGGAGTCCACATTTACAGGCATCAGCTAAGCCTTGCAATGCTCAAGATGCCATATAAATAAATAATTTATTTTATGCAGTGAACCTCTACTAATGTCTAATTCTGATGGTTCATGGGGGCATGGAGGTGACTTTGGAGGCTTGACGATTGTAGAGTGTGTTCTCTGGTAGGTTTTATCAACCCAGAAAGGCTTTGAGTACAGCCTGGATGACCTATGGGATCCCATGATATTTACCATCTTAGTTGGAGGAGATTCATCTTCAGAAGGTTGGCCACCAGGTGATGAACTTATTTGACTAAGGCAACTAATTGTAGAGAGATTGCAATTTGTGTAGGTGAAGGGACGATATGTGCTTAGGAGATTATGAATTTTCTTTTAAAATATTGATATGAAATTAAGAGAGGGAAAGGCTACAGACATTTATTATTAAGGGAGACAAACATTGAAAACATTCATAATTTCTAATAATACGGTACAGCCAAGGTAGGGGAAAGAATTTCTTGGGAATTCTTGTTAATTGGCTTAGTATAGAGTGGGATATGTTGGAAATTTTAAATTAGTTCTGGAAGGTTGTCTTCATTTCCCTTGTTTTATCATTTACTCATTTTGAGTAGCAGTCAGTGGTATTTACAGTGAAGTTCAGAATGTTGCTTTCCTGGAGTTAACTGTAATTATCTACCCCATAGGTATGGTATTTAAATGTTTTTAATGTATTACTTTTTTGAAAACTACTACTTCTGTTTATATTCGTTGTAGGTCATTACCCTCTGAATATCAGTTACTAAGCTAAGCACCTCATTTGTATAATTAAAAACCAAAATTAAATGAAACTATTATAATTCTGCCGTGATTATCAGGGCGAAGAGCATTTCATTTTGTGTCTGTAGTCTCTGCCTTGGGTTTTCATATTACTTTTGATTATTTCAGTCATAATGTTATACATCCCAAAGGAACAAAAATATTGATGTACCATATTTATTTTTTGATATATCAATTTGAAATCCGTATTAATTTTTATGTTACAAATGTTGTATATATTTTATTTAGAAATTTGCCATGCTGTTAGAGTGTATTTTTTTCTCAGTGGCAGCAAGGATAAAGGACAGGGGGAGGGAGACAGGAATCAAAGAAACAAGAATTTCAAAACTCTGCTTTCAAGTCAGCAGGATTTAGTACATAGCTGCCTTTGGAGTTAGAAAGATTTGGGTTCCCACCTCTGACACATAAATGCCAGATGAACGTGAACATTCATTTAACATCACGTTGCCCCAGGCAATACTGGTTATAAATCACAGAAGAGTTACTTACCTGAATTGATGTAACTGCATTGAATAAAGACCCCTCACCCGGGGACCTTGTACCAGTGAAATTAGAAGTTTGGTTCACCTTCATCCCTAGATTCCCCATTAATTAAATATTGCAATAGTTTAGTCTTCTAACTCACGTCTTCCTCTTAGGTTCTGCCACTGCCAGTCCCACGCAGCACATTCCTACATTTTGAAAATCATGACATATTTGGAATGTCTAAAATTCCTTTTACTGGCCTTTCTATAAAATATTCTTAGGGACTGAGATGTTTGAAAGTAAAGAATGTGATTTTTTAAAAAACCATTCAATGCCATAGTGATCCACTTTGAATGTTTATGCTTGGAAAAAAAGTAAGCAGTGCTTCTTAAAAATAAATTATTTGAATAATTGGGGAAATATTCACTACTTCTGGTTAGGCTGTGCTTAGAAAATGAAATGACAATACTAGTAAATTTTATTTATAGTTAATGTTACACCAGTCATATTACCAAGCAGACAGTATGTAGAAGTAGACATAATATTAAAATATCTTTGGGAGAATAAAAGATCTAGAATTTCAGGGTAAATGGATGAGAAGAATGAATGCAGGGTACATGGTAATGTCAAAGCTCACAATTTATTATAAAGCAATAGAGAAGGGGAAGGGAATAGTGGCGGGCTAGGGGGCGCCACAATGCATAAAATGCCAGGCCTGGAGTCAGTAAGACTCACCTTTCTGAGTTCAAATGTGGCCTTAGACACTTCTTAGCTGAGTGATCCTCGGCAAGTCACTTAACCTTGTTTGCCTGGTTTTCCTCATCTATAAAATTAGCTGGAGAAGGAAATGGCAAACCACTCCAGTATCTTTGCCAAGAAAACCCCAAATGAGGTCACAAAGAGTTGGACATGACTGAAAATGACCAAACGACAGCAAAAACAAAATGTGCCAGGCACTGTACTAAGTGCTTTTCAAATATTATCTCATTCAGTCCTCATAATAACCCTATAAAGTAGCTACTAGTATTATTATTAATTCTTTTTTATAGTTGAGCGAAATGAGGCAACCTGAGATTAAGTTACTTAGTCATCTCTAGGGTGGGGGGGGGAGGGGAGAAAAAAAAGAACAAGAAATTTACATGTTTGTTATATATACACTATTTTATTAATTTATATATTTTATTATGTATTCATAGATATTTATATATAACTACTATATGTAATATATAACTTTATTATATATGTAAAAGGAATAGTGAGTTGTACATTATAGATTTGCAGTTTCGTGTGTAATCATCCTTTTTATTGTACTATGTTATGGAAATGCTTGTTTTATTACATAAATTAAAAATAAAATAAATTTCAAGAAAAGGTTAAGTTACTTGCCTAGGGTCATACAGCTAGTAAGTATCAGAGATCAAATTTGAACTCAAGTTTTCTTGATTCCAGGTCCAGCACTCACTATATTGACTGTTCCACCCGTTAAAATTATTTAGGTAATAGTTATAGAGACAGAAAAGCAGAACAGTGAAATGTATTGTAGTTGCCCAGTGTTTTAGTCTAAGAACATAAATTATTGGAGAAAACATCTCTTTTTAACAAGAAATACAAGGAAAACTAGAAAGCAGTTTGGTAGAAGTTAGGCATAGACCAATATTTTATACTGTAAACTGAATAAGTTAAAAATAGATAATCAACCTGAATATAAAAAAGTTGTATCATTAAAAAATTTGGAAGAAAACAAGAACTTTAACAACCATAGCTACTGGGAATATTCTTAAATATACAAGAAATAGAGGAGCTCATAAAAGATTAGTAACAGTTATAACTATTTAAAATGAAAAAGCTTTTGCATGAATAAAACAAGCAAAAACTGAATTAGAAGAGAATTGGTAAAGGAAGAGCAATCTATTTATTAAATAAAAAGTCCAATATCCAAAATGCATATAGGAAATGAACATAAATATGTAAAACTGTCACCCAATAGAAAGATGTTCAGAAATTATAAACAAACATTTTTCAAAAGAATTGCAAATTATAAATAACTTTGTGAAACCGTGTTGCAAATCACTAAGAGAAATGCAAATTAAAACAACTCTGAAAAGTGTCATCTCACATCATGTAAATTAACAAAGATAATGAAAGATGGAACAAGTTAATGTTAAACAACTTGAGAATACCAGCACATCATGCAGCCTGTCAGTGGATCTGTGAATTTGTCTGACTGTCCTGGATATCATTTTGGAATTATATAGCAGAAGTAATTAGACAAACTGTCTATACCCATTTCCCCAGTTTATCCCACTCCTGGGCATATGCTCCAAAGATATCAAAGATCAAAATGAAAGTTTAATGTATGCCAAAATATTCACAGCTATACTCTGTAGTAGAAAAGAACCAGAAACAAAAGTGGGTCATCACTGACAAATGACTGAAAAAACCATGGTATGTAAATGCAGTGGGATATTATTGTCTAGTAAGAAATGATGAAATGAGGGATTCAGAAAATCATAGAAAGATTTATATGAACTGAGAACAAAATAAACAAGCAAGAAAATAAAAGACACAATGACTCCAGCGATATGAATGAAGATATCAATAAAATGAAGTTAAGAACTGAATAATCTGAAAATCAGTGAAGTCTGAAAAACCAGTGAAGTTCTAAGAACAGGTGATGAAACTTAGACCCCTCCTTATGGCAGACAGGAAGGGTCCCATTAGGAAAGATATTTTTATATACCATCAGATGTCATCACAGTAAATATCAGGTGTTCTTTCTGAATA